AATACAACAGCCTAAAACCCTGCTCTATCCTGTGCCAATCTTATTATCTCTGATACACATACCCCCATTACCCCAGTGACTGAACCAATCCATCTCATCAAGGGTCTTCCTCTCTTGCACTGTCCTTTCTACCCTCCCAAGGATGATGGCCCTCTCCAAGGACTGGTCTGTCCTTGCAACATGCCCAATGTATGTCAGACAGAGTTCCAGAATCCTTGCCTCCAAGGAGCAGCCTGGTTTAACCCTATCCAGGACAATATATATGCACAGGGAAAGATATGGAAGGCTATTTCCTGAAGAGCATTGTCCCATTATTTCCTGTTCCTACCTTGTTTCTCTCCTATCTCGAACTTGTAAAGACTATAGTATCTTTTTAAAAATTTATTGTAGCAGGGAAGACTGGACAGTGCATCACAAGATTTAGACCTCACCCAAATCCTAGCCAACAGCAGATACATTTCAAGATCTCCTTTACTCACTCACCCTCTTTCTTGTTAACCCAGTTCCGAGCTGGCTCCTTTGTGGCCCTCATTCTTGGGTTGAGCCCAATCTCTTATCACTGAGGCATCAGATCCTTTGCCTCTGCAGTGGACCAACCTACTTATTTGCTCTAGACCTGCCCAACAAAAGGGCGGCTCCCCTAATTCTCCTTTCTGTGGGAACCAGCCCTGGAATTCTCCCCCTTTCTTCTTCCTTCTCTTTCATTATGCCAGCCAGCAGGGTGGAGCAAGACCTTGAGAGCAGTGTACCATGACAGAAAGAAAACAGGCTCTAAGGCAAATCAGACTAGCCACAGAATCCTGCCTTTACCATTATTAACTGCATGACCTTGACAAAGTTTAACTTCTCTGGACATTTCTTAGCTGCTGTTTCTGACTTTGTAAAACAGGAATAAATCTGCTTCAAAGGGTTGTGGTAAGAATGAAGTGAGATGAAACATAACAAGTGTTTCACATAAAATGAGGACAAAATGAAAGTAGCTAGTGTAATAATTAGGTATCTTTATCTGGTGAGGTGAGCAGAGCCCACAGCTCTGCCCCAGCTCCATTAAGGCTGGGTGTAACCTTTAGATACAAGAGCACAGGGCCTTGGGTTCATCATACATTTAGGAGTCTATGAAAATGCTTTAATTTTTTTGTAAAACCCAAAGTAAAACAACAAACTTTTATATCAAGGAAATACTAATACCACCTTGTTAGTTTCCATCATATTGATACAGAATCATGGTGATTTTGAGTGTGTAGAGCAGAACTGCTCCACAGGATTTTCATTGGCTGTGAAGCTGATTCGGCATGCCTGAATTCCTACAAGCCTCTGGGAAGATTTGAACCACCCACCTTTTGGCTAATTGTGACTGCGTGCATCACCCAGGGATACTTTCATATTATTACAGTTTTCTTTATATAAATGCAGTCATGAAAGAGAACATGTTCCTTCTTTTTGTGGAGAAGAGTGGCCCACAAAAAATCATACTGTAGCCTGGATTTTCAATACTTAGGGAAATTTTTATGGATTGGCAGGGGGAAAGGCATAGGGGTGCAGTGCATTGGCAGGGTGAGGGTGGGAGGTGAGGGGAGAAAGTAAGTGCAAAGCAGGGGTGGACGTGAAGAGCTGACCCTGAGTGACAGCTCAAGCCCTGGCCAATTGTGATTTCTATTCTTTTCTCCACCATTCCCTGAATTTATGCTTGCCTTGAACTCATTGGGTAGGGGACAATATGATATGTCCTGAAATGCCACTTCCTCTTTTGATCAATAATCTATATAGTTCCTAGCCTGTGTACCTTCACACATGGCACTACTTTTATTTGGAATACCCATCACACTCATCTTTGCTGATCCAAACCATCTATCCTTCAAGGGTTGAGGTCCATCCTCTTCCCTGTTCATGGAGTCTTGGCGACCAATCTAGATTTCACCTATTTCTTTTCTCCCTCACTAAGACTGAATTTGTGCACATTTTCAGTCACAGAGGACACGATCTTAGACAGGGGTTACTATCTTGTTTTCACATTTGTAAAGCAGGGATGTCGGTCCTAATGACAAATAAGAACAAAGGTGATGGGGAGCTCTGGTGGCCTAGTGGCAAGGAGCTGCAACTACAATCCCAGTGGCTCACGGTTCGAATCCACCAGATGCTCTGCCGGGAAAAGGAGGGACAATCTCCTCCTGTACCAGTCAGATCTGATTTGACAGTACACTCACACAAAAATTTAAAAAAAAAAAAAGAACAAAGGTGTTTAAACTAGGGCTTTGAAATTGGTTCTTCTAGCCCAGTCATGGCCAACAGAGTGAAGTTAAACAGAACCAGATTTGTTACATGTGAGTATGTGGGAATGATAACCAGAATGGGGAAAAATGGGTTGATGCCCTGTTAGAAACTTAAAACTTCCTCTTAGAAAACAAGGTCATCCTGAAAGTGTGTTGCAACCAAATATCTTGACTGACGGTCTAAAACAATGATGTCTAGTTCAAAGATTGAGAAGACCACAGTTTTGAATGTATATAGCTCTACACAGCTCTGGTAATAATTCAGTATCCTGTATTAGCTTGCTAAAAGGGTTCACTGCCCCACATCTGAGTCTTCCATTCCAGAAGTTTGACCTATAAGTTCTCCCATTTTTATTATGATTATGGTTATATTCACATTTCCAAACTTGGGTCCATTCTGATTTTGCTATATTGGCCTTGACTGAACTGGTTCAAACTAGTTATAAGTCCTGGTATAAACCAGCTAAGGTTTTGGTTGTTTTGTTAGCTGTCGACTGAGTAAGGAGTTGCACTGCTAAACCCAAAGACAGGGGGTTCAAATCCACCAGGCTGCTCCCTGAGAGACAGACCATCTCCTCCCATGCAATTTATCTCTGAAAAGCTGCAGAAGGGTCAGCTATGAGTAAATTATTTTTTAAAAAAAGTAAAATAGTAAAGACAAATTTATTGGAATGTTACATTTCCAAATGGACAGACCTCCCTCCTTGAAAGAAAAGATGGAAGCCTATCACTTGCTAACAGTCTGACTTGATGGCAGTGAGTATGAGCATCCCATCTTAAAAAATAAAAAAGAGGAGCTCCGACGGTGTAGTCCATGTAGGCGACACTGCTAACCAAAAAGCTATATATCTTTGGCAGCAATTTGAACCCACCAGTGGCTCCATAGGAGAAAGAAGGGAAGTCTCTTTCCTTGTTTTCCAGCCTTTGAAACCTGATGGAGGATCTCTATGAATCAGAATCAGCTGGGTAGCAGCAAGTTAGGGAGTTCTTCATGTCACAGTCACAATCAATTGATCAGCCTCATTATAAAATTAAGGGTAAATACCCATTCTCAATGTGAAGAAGGAGCATACTTCTTGAGCAAAATAGGTTTTTGATGGAGGATCAGTATTATTATTTTTTTTTAAGCAAAGAAGATTTTTATTGGGAGCTCCTAGATGATATTTGCTGTCCCAGACCAGAGAGGGGTAGAAAGGTAGAAGAAGTAGCCTGTCTGGATCAGTATTAAGGGAGTAGAATTAAAGGTCAGGCAGAACCTTTTACCAAGGAAAGACTGATTTACTAGTAAACACTCAAGAAGAGTGATAATGGAGCTGAGTGCTTACTGGATGCTAAACATAGTGTTTATATAATGATGATATTCTGTGGATTCAGAACCGCCTGCCTCATAGCTGACCGGAGGAGATTGTCCATTGTCCATCCGTCTCCCACCATCCTTCTCCCCTAAGTGTATGGGTTCCCTCATTTAATCCTCACAAATAACCTCGTAAGTTAAGAACTATTTCCCCATTTTACAAAATGAGGGAAATGGAGCTCAGCAGTTAGATCATTCACCCAAGGTCACAGAGTTTTGGGGAAGCTCTGGTGGCCTAGTGGCAAGGAGCTGCAACTACAATCCCAGAGGCTCACGGTTCAAATCCACCAGATGCTCTGCCGGGGAAGGAGGGACAACCTTCTCCTGTACTAGTCAGATCTGATTTGACGGTACATTCACACAAAAATTTAAAAAAAAACAAACAAACAAAAACAAAAACAAACAAACAAAAAAACCCCAAACACCCAAGGTCACAGAGTTTTAAGTGCCAAGAATTGGCCCTGGTCCTAGAGACTCTAGTGGCAGACTGTACCAGTGCACAATTTGAGTTGCCTCCAGCTTCCTCCTTTTCAACAGTGAAGCTGGCAGAGGGAAGTGGGAGGGTCATCCTTTCAAGCTGAGGCCATGGAAGTCCAGTCCTGGGAAGACCAGGACTGGGCTAGAGTGGGGAGTGTGTCTTTTCCATTCCGCCTAGGAAGTCTTTACCTACCTCGCAGGGAAGGTGTAGCTGGAAGGCTAGTCATTATAGTCAATGGAGAGGACCCAGACGGAAGAACAGATCTGTAGGAAGAAGGGCAAACACTTGAATAAGGAGGCTTGTGGGTTCCTATTGTGGAGTCCATTTAGACTCAAGGCCCCTCCATGGTTTTCCTAGCCTGGGGCTAGAAGGCCTGGGTGACCCAGGCATCTGCCAGGTTTTCGAATTCCCTTCCCCATGAACTCTGGTCCAGGGAATTGGGGGAAGAGGGTAAGTTAATAGTAAACTCTTGGTTTCTCAGGCTTAGGGTGCCTAGATCATTCCATAAGAGCAGATCTTACACTGCTTTTATTTAGAGTGTCTTATCTTTGAAAGTTCTACCCCCAGATCCATTCACTAAGCCACCACGCTTACCTAGGAAATCTCCCAAAGCCTAAGAAAGTTAGGTAAATACCTACAAACGAGCGGCCGACTTGGTTTCGCCAAACTGTGGTGACAGGTACTCCTGGCAGCCAAAACCCGGAGTTTCGGGCTGAGCCACCCACTAGGTGTCAGGAGAGGGCTGGGGAAGGTCAGGGCGAGCCCTGGGCTCGGATGCGAGAGTAGAAGCAGGTACGTGGCCTGAAAGGTGAGGAATAAGGCAAAGAAGGTTGGAGGGGAGGGCCCTCAAGCTGCCTTTGGCCGGTCTCGACACCCGGTTTCTCCGGGCTCGCCTCACTCGCCCCACTGTCCTTTTCATTGTCCCCTGCGCCAGCACGAGCCCCACCAGCCGGCCACAAGTGACCAAACTCCACTTGGCTCCCCGCGCGGTGCCCCTGGGACGCCGCGGGCGCAGGGGGGCGCAGGAGGGCTGTCTGGACCGCGATCCCGCCCGGAGCCCCCCAGGCGTTACCGGCACGCGGCGGGTTCGCAGCTCCGGGCTGGCCGGCCGTGTCCCGGGACACAGCGCTCTGGCCGCTCTCGGTTTCAATGCCTGGCGTGGCCGAGGCGACCGGCGTATGGGTGCGGGCTGCGGGCTCTCCCGGTCCTCCCGCCCTCGCCAGGTCCCCTCCTCCGCGTGCTCACCTTTCCAGTCGGACGGGCTGCCCGGGAAGGGCCCGGCGCCTCTCCGCGCTTGCTTTTGAACTTGACGGGGGCGGGATCTGCGCAGCTTCGGCGAGGCCGGAGCGGACCACAGCGAGCCGGGACACACAGCGAGGAGAAGACGCCGGGAGACGCGCAGAACTGGCGACTGAGGCCGGTCGGGAGTGGGGGTGGGAGGACAGACCGACTGGGTGGGACAGGAAAAGAGGAGAGAAACCGCCCTCTGCAGGTTCCCTCTGCCTGCGGGCAGTCTCTGCTCCCACGGGAGGAAAGGCTGCCTTTCCTTCTCCGATTTGTCGCTTTACTCTCCATCCGGAGTCGCTTCCTCTCGCGCCCCAGACACCAAGGGGACAGGACCTGAACCCTGGGCTTGCTAGCTAACATCCATCCCAGTTGATGGGTTTTTTAATGTCTTTCTTTCATTCATGTATGTATGTATGTATTTGTTTGTTTATACATACATACATACATACATACATACATACATACATACATACATACTAGGAAATGTGGAAAGTAACGTTGACTCGTCCGCGCATATCATTTTCACAAGCTTGGAACATTAATTTAGCTAACGCACCCCTGGCCCACAAGGTGGGAAGATGAGCAGGGAAGAGGAACGAGGAAGGTTGCCCCACCTGGCTCTTCTGTATTTGATCTTCTGAGTCAGTACATACATAGCCTGAAGCATCTTGGACTTTGGATTCAAACAATCCCAGCTCCCCTGGCTTTGTTAGCTATGCGACTTGGGGCAAATTACTTAACGTCTATGAAGAGCCTGGTTGAGGACAGAAAGTGATCATCTCTATACAGTCCTTTTGTACTATGGCCCTAGTCGGTGGTAAACCCTCCAATTTAATCAGTGCCAAGTTAGCAACCTTAACTCACTTCTTGTGGAGGACATACAGTATACCCAAATTAATTAATTAAGGGAACTCATGACTAAGAGAATGTATTCGTTTCTGCTGTGTGTCCTTAGACAAGTAACTTCTGTTTTAGTTTCCTTGTCTAGGGTAACAACTGTCTCATAGGATGTTCTGGATTAATTTGTGTTCCACCAATACATGGTCAACTTGGCTAGGCCCGGATTCTCAGTATTATTTAATTATACCCAGTTGTGTGATCTAATTATCATACATGTATTCCCAGCTAGGCAGCTTTTAGTGAAAGGTTTTATTGCAATTAACATTTTAAAAGTTTATGGCAATTTAAATAAAGTTTACTGCAGCTTTTGACTTCTTCAATGAGTTAATAACCCTAATCTGTTTACCTTCTTTATCATAATCATCTTCAGTAGCTTCTCTAGTAAGTATAACAAACACTGTTCTTGGGATTACAAGGTCCTGTACAAAGCCACCAATTAAAAAAAAAAATCTGCAGCAAAGAATCCAAATCTCCACTCTCAGGAACTTCAGCAAGGGCAAAAAATGAAAGAGTCATAGGAAACTGCTTTAGTCACTGTACATAGTCATTGTATGTATGAACTATTTCCACATCCCTTTTGTTTTGGCTGCTTCTGAATGGTTTTCAACATGACATTCTTTCCTATTTCCCAGTCTGTCTACACTCTGCACAGCTCATCATCATCTGACTCAGACCTTATTCTATATGCTTTTGTCAGCACTTCATTTGGGAAATATTCAGCAGGTCCAAAGTTAAATTCTAGGACAAAATTCATAGGATAGCCAACATCTGAAAACTTCCTTTGAATATTCCTGTGTTTCAGAATAGATTTCTAGTGTTCTTGGATTGTATCACTAAACAAGTCAACATACTTCAAAACGGTAAACTTTCAGGAATTCCTTTGGGATCATCTTTTTCTTCATCCTTTTTCTCATCTTCAACCTTGGCCTTTTCTTTCAGCTCTTCTTGAGTTGACAAAAACTAGCTATTGCTGTCCTGATTTCCAGTTAGGTTTGACACTCTTGTGCTTATTCTGTGATCAGTGATGTACTTTTGTGTTTTTCTTATGCCTGTGAAGACTTGTTTTATTCCTGTAAGCATAATCCTTAGATCTGGGAATTAATATTTCTATCAATAGGTAGAAAGTTAGGTATTATCAGACTGCACATTCATCTGAGGAATAAAGGACTGATGTTGATTGCCTTCGAGTTGAGCATGACTCATAGCGACCCTATGAACAAAAGGCCTAAAGCCCCTCTACAACTATCGACATTTATCTCAGAGTAAAAGGTATAGAGTGAGAGAGACATAAAAACAAAGTATTGGAAGCCAAACTTCATACCAAATATTATATGAAAACCCTTGTCCAGGAATTGAAGGAATTACAAATTTATAAGTTAGGATTTCTCTTGTGACAGATCACAGAAAACAAGCTGCTTGTTCCCTGCAGACAAGAGACAGCTAGGGCCCCCCTACAGAGGGAGTAGTTACTACGTGTGAAAATACTTCCTGAGCTAGAGCATTAGATTGACAATAGAAAAATTCAACTTCATTTACAAGGAATTTTTTTTTTACAAGGAATTCTTTTTATGTTTTTCTTCCCCTGATTATCAATAAATACATAGAGAGGCATGGCTTGAGCCCTTCCGTTGAGAACTGCTGGCCTCCTGTTTTATGCTTTCTGTTCTCATTCCTGGCTGTCTGTCTCATTATTAATAATTACAAAAATACTTTACCCTCGGTCTGCAACAACAAAGCTGTATACAAACTAAGCAGAAGTAGTTTCCATTTCTAAAAATGTTGATTGGTAAGAACCCCACCCCTTAGTGATAAGTATAGGAAGACCCTCAACTAGGTGGACTGACCCAGTGATGGCAGAAATGGGCTCTAGTTAGTCAGACTGTGAGGATGGCACTGGATAGGATAGGGTTCAGCTCTGTTGTTCACAGGGTTACCGTGAGTCAAATGGAACCTAGGTAAGGAGTCGGAGTCGTGCTAAGAACCCAAAGTCATGTGCTTCACTGGAGAAAAATGCATAGTCTCCTCCCATGCTATTTATTGCTTCTGAAAACCCAAGAGAGTCAGCTGTTAGTCAGTTCTGACAGTATATAACAACACATGTGGTAAACTACCAACACAACAAGAAATGTAAAGAAAGTGATATGTAGACAAGATACAGAGAAGAAAGGAATAAAAAACAATGCAATCCTCTCTCAGATAAGAGTATATCTAAGAGGGAAAAAAAGTTAATCCTAGGAGTTAGTTCTCCAGATTTCTCGGCACAACTTGGTGAGCACATCCAGGGCAACACCTGTTATCTGAAATACTTCAATTGGTATACCATCTATTCCTGGGGCCTTATTTTTTGCTATTTCCTTCAAAGCAGCTTGAACTTCTTCCTTCATCACCATAGGCTCTTGCTCATATGTTATTTCTTTAAATTCCTCTGTATCTGCCAATTCCTTTCTATATAATGACTCAGTATATTCCTTCCATCTTCTTTTAATACTTCCTGGATCATTTAATATTCTGCCCAGAGCATCCTTGATTACAGCAACTCTAGGTTTGAATCTGTTCTTCAGTTCCTTGAGCTTAAGAAATGCTGAGCGAGTCCGGCCCTTTTGATTTTCTGACTCTAGCTCCTCGCACATTTCATTGTAGTATTTTGCTTTGTCATTCCGAGCAGCCTTTTGGAATTTTCTGTTCAGCTCTTTAGTATCTTGAATTCTTCCTTGTGCTTTGGCTTCTCTACGCTCCAGTGCAATCTTCAGAGTTTCTTCTGACATCCATTTTGGTCTTTTCTTTCTCTTCTGTCTTTGTAATGACCGTTTACACTCTTCCTGAATGATATCTTTGACATCCTCCCACAACTCATCTGGTCTTCGCTCATTAGTGTTCAAGGCCTCAAACCTGTTCCTGAGATGATTCTGAAATTCAGGTGGTATGAAATCAAAGTCATATTTTGGCTCCTGTGGATTTGGTTTAATTTTCCTCAGCTTCAGCTTGAACTTGCATATGAGTAATTGGTGGTCTGTTCCACAATCAGGCCCCGGCCTAGTTTTCACAGCTGATATTGAGCTTCTCCAGCGGTTCCTTCCGCAGATGTAGTCGATCTGATTCCTATGCATACCATCAGGTGAAGTCCATGTGTATAACCTGCGTTTGTGTCTCTTATAAAATGTATTTGCAATGAATAAGTCATTGATTCTACAAAATTCAATCATTCTATCTCCAGCCTCATTCCTGTCACCAAGCCCATGCTTTCCGACCACTGATTCCTCTTCTCTATACCAATTGAAGTATTTCAGATAACAGATGTTGCCCTGGATGTGCTCACCAAGTTGTGCCAAGAAATCTGGAGAACAACCACTTGGCCAACTGACTGGAAGAGATCTATATTTGTTCCCATTCCAAAGAAAGGTGACCCAACTGAGTGTGGAAACTACAGAACAGTGTCATTGATTTCACATGCAAGCAAGATTCTACTGAAGATCATCCAAAAACGATTAGAACAGCACATCAACAGAGAACTGCCGGAAGTCCAGGCTGGGTTTAGAAGGGGTCGTGGTACTAGGGATATTGTAGCTGATGTTAGATGGATCTTGGCTGAAAGCAGAGAATACCAGAAGAATGTCTATCTGTGTTTCATTGACTGTGCAAAGGCATTTGACTGTGTGGATCATAACAAACTGGCTGACTCTGAGAAGAATGGGAATCCCAGAACATTTAATTGTGCTAATGCGAAACCTGTACTTGGATCAGGAGGCAGTAGTCAGAACAGAGCAGGGCAACACTGCATGGTTCAAAATTGGGAAGGGTGTATGCCAGGGATGCATCCTGTCTCCATACCTTTTCAACATGTATGCAGAGCAGATTATCTGAGAAGCTGGGCTCTATGAGAATTGTGGCATCAGGATTGGTGGAAGATCTATTAACAATCTGTGTTATGCAGATGACACAACCCTGCTTGCTGAAACTGAGGAGGACCTCATGCACTTGCTGCGAAGGGTCAAGGACTGCAGCCTTCAGTATGGACTGAGGCTCAATGTCAAGAAGACAAAGATTCTCGCCACTGGACCAATTGGCAGCGTCAGGATGGATGACGAAGAGATTGAGAGTGTTCACAGCTTCAGTTTGCTTGGCTCCACAGTCAACACTCTTGGTACCAGCAGTCAGGAAATCAAAAAGCGTATCGCGATGGGAAAGTCTGCTGTTAGGGACCTCTCAAAGGTACTCAGGAGCAACAGTGTCTCTATAGAGACTAAGGTGCGCCTGATACAGGCCATGGTCTTTGCAATCGCTTGTTATGCATCAGAGAGTTGGACAATGACTAGGGAGGACAGAAGGAGAGTGGATGCGTTTGAGCTGTGGTGCTGGAGAAGGGTACTGAATGTACCATGGACTGCCAGGAAAACAAACAGATTAATCTTGGAGAGGATTAAACCAAGCTACTCCTTGGAGGCAAGGATTCTGGGGCTTCGTCTGACATACTTTGGACATGTTGCCAGGAGGGACGGGTCCTTGGAGAGGGACATCATGCTTGGGAGGGTGGAGGGACAGCTCAGGAGGGGAAGACCCTCTATGAGATGGATTGATTCAGTGACTGGGGTAATCGGGATGGGTGTGTCAGAGGTGGTGCGGTTGGCGCAGGATAGAGCAGGGTTTAGGGCTGTTGTGCATAGGGTCGCTATGAGTTGGAAACGACTCGACCGCACATAACAACAACAACAACAGGAGTTAGTTTCTTAGAGAAGACAAATGCTTGCTTGCTTGCTTGCTTGCTTTCTCTCTCTTTCTTTCTTCTCCAGCTAACCTGACCATGAATTCCAGGAAAGGTTGAGATCTTTCTTGTATCTGAGTGTCTCTCCCATAACATTACATTCTGTTCTAAAGACTGTTAGAAACTTGTACTATCAGAGGACTTCTGGCCCAGTTGACTCAGAATTGCTGTATTTCTTTTGCAATCTGAGGGTTGTTAATCTTGCGTAAGCATCTTCTTTTCTCCTTAAAATGTAGTCTTAGACAAAAATAGTCTTAGGGAGGGAAGGGGAAGGGGAGAGGACATTAGTGGATGGAGGGGTAGGGTGAAGGGAAAAATAAGGTCCAGTGAGGATATGATGAGATGTAATAAATGGCATTGATCAATGGTAAAAATTAATTTCATAAAATAAAATGGATATACATGAACCAATAAAAAAAGAAAATGTAATCTTAAAAGGTTTACTGATACATGGTTTGGTGGGTTTTTTTAGGTACTCACCTCATTGTAAAAGTGTAAGCATCTCAGGAAAGTAAGATGCAAAACACATATTCCAATTTAGCAAAATGAAGAATATAAAACAGTATATTTATTAAGCTCTCTGGTGTGTCCTGTTTATCTTGGATCATCATATTTCTAGGGTTTTGGGGATATCTTATCCAGTCTGCCAATATTGTCCCTCAAATTGCTGGAACAAAATGATTGGATGATGTCCTTGCAATTAATTCTACCTAGAAAGGACTCGCAAATGAATGTGACCTCCTGAGCTGGTGAGTTACCAGTGTTCTCCAAAGAGTAAATGCTAAACCTCAGAAATTGAAGCAGCCCTTCTTTTGTCAACAGATCTCCAGGGACCTCTGGGCAGGGTTTAAGAAACACTCATCTCCGCCTAATTTTACTGGCTTTCAGCTTCCTTTTTGTCCTACTGTCAGTGAGTAGTCTTCTAAGCCTTCCTTGTTAATTTGGGTTTTTTCTTTTTAAAGCTTTTGTGTGCCCAGAATATTCAACCATTTTATAAAAAAGGTAAATAACCTCATTCCCAGATAGAACGGTCCGCCGTCAATCACCAAAAGTGTTCCCTGTGTCGAGTGTTCGGGCCCTAGCCCCTGCCTCCAAGGAGCCTCCAGTCAGGTCAAATGAAGTACCAATTATGCAATTTAGGGCTTCTTGACACTT